GGTTGTGTGTTCAGTTGATTAATGGTTCATCCACATTTGGACAATTGCATGATTTTTTCTTTGGAAACCTGTTGTCAGAGTATAGTGGTCTGGGGAAAAGCACCCCGAGCATCAGAAAAACCACACTGCTATATGGTCAAGTAGCCAAGGATGCGTTTTTTTTTTTTTTTTTTTTTTTTTTTTTTTTTTTTTTTTTTTTTGTGATCCCAATGGCATTGAGATCATTCTGGTTTGGCATAAATGTATTGAGGCCTCACCTCATAAAGGTGGAAATTGTAGATGTTCAGGAGGAGCTGCATCATCCCCATCCCAGACTGCTGTCTCCTCATCTTAGGTGCCCTAGGGACTGAGCAGGTGGCAGAGCTGCTGCTTCTTATTTTGAATCCTGATGTGCTTTAGTACATGTGTGTGTCTCTTCTCTGTGCTACATGTCATTCTTTGTGGGAGTCTGGATAAATATTTCAGTCTGTGGGAGTTCAAGAGAGCTAGGTATCACCTAGCAACAAGCATCCCACTCTCTGCTTCCTGATTCTCTTTACTTTTATTGAAGTGTCTGTGAAAACCAGAAGTTGAAGCATTAAGGTAATTTTCAGAAATATTTTGAGGAACTTTAGATATTTTTGTTACTATGTTATAGCAGAGCAGCAAAGATGTTGGCGGGGGTGTTGGCATCTTAAAGTAAGTAACTGTGCCTTTTTTGAACAGCAATCACAGTCAAAGATTAGCAAAAACTTCAGCTGGAGACAGAATAACCCTTATGATCACAGTTGTTAGGATGCATAGCAAGTGATCCTTTGGTCTTGTGGGGTCTGCAGTTACACATAACCTAAACTGAATGAGTTTTAGGCTGTATTACCTGGTTCATCTTGCAACTTGTAATGGCTGCTGGTGGGACTGTGCCTTATGCTGGAATTTAAAACTTTTTTTTTTTTTTTTTTTGGCAAACAATTTTGTGGCAAAGTGCTTTGGCTACTTTCAGTTACACTGGTAGAGCACTCAGTTTGCAAAGATCCTGGGGAACAGAGCCAAGTGAGGAAAGGTGGACACTTGAAGTGTAGTTGAGGAAGACTTAAGGATATGTTCAGTACAGTGTGGACTGCAYGCCAGCATCTTCTGTGCCTTATAAGTTTTTAAAGGTCAAGAACTGATGTGGATCTATAGCTTGTGGTTAATGTATATTTTATCTGCAGCTTCTGCGAAATATCCGCTTTATGGAGTTTATTAATTTCCCTGCAAGAGTCAGAAACTTAGGGAAAAAGAACAAGTATRTGGCTGCTATTAATACCAGGGTAGCTATCCTTTACACTGGGTTGAGGATAACCTGTATTCCTTCATCTCTGAATGGTGCTGAAATGGAGCTTTCAGTGATCCTACCTTTCCTGATGGCCACRGTGGCCTTGATGAGTGGGAGAAGTCATGCTGTTTTGGGAAGTTTGGTGTGAGTCAGGGCCTTTGAAAGGGGTTGCAGGAGTCAAAATACAGATTTAAGGGCTTTCAAGAAGAAAAGTGCATACTTTAAAAATAAAATAGATGAGGTAAGAAGGTGACTAACACCCAACAGTTGTTTCCAAATAAGGCATTTGCTTTGTAGAGTGAAAAGTTAAATAAATCCTGATTCAGCAAGTGACTTAACTTTGCAATTGAATTGKTCTTTTCAAAATGTGTGTTCCCATATCTATCTGAATTAGAAGARAGTAAAAAATAGCACAAGGAGTAATTTGTTACTGTATTAATGTGATTTTACTTTAAAATKATCAGTAAGTAAAAGTGATACCAGTGTGGATTTGTTTTCTAAATTAACTAATGCGGGTTTATATTTTAAAAAATGTTCTGTTTGTAGAGATATGGATACCTCTACACACATAGGGGGCTTCTGTTTTTTCCTGAAAAATGCTCAACATGGTTGTCCTGAAACTTTTCTCACGTTCCTTATTGTGGTCCAAGCGTCTTGATCAGCTCTACCACGGGGTGTGCATGCTGGTTAGCATTGGACTACTGGAACATTTTATCTGATCAAGGTTTTCAAAATGGACTAGGAATAACCAAATTACTTGTTTTTCTTGTGCTGTGGGAAAAGGAATCTAATGTTTGGCGGCATTCATAAGCATTATAAACTCCTGTCATCTGAAAACACTATTTTAAGGTGATAGGCTTTGGGTGGAATTCTGTGTTTGCTATTTATATTTCATTGTTTGGGTTGAAAAKGATGTTTTGTACTTTGCTTTGTGATTACTTAAAGAGCCTTTTTGATTTAAAGTTTTGAAATAGGAAATAATGTGCAGTTGTCTAATTGGGTAGATTTTCTTCTACTATAAAACCTGCTTGATACAAATGGAAGATGGTTCTACTTGGATTTCAATGTCTGATTTCATATTTCTGATAGTAGAAACTAAGATTTCACTGTAAAACRCTGAGAACCAAAGTTCAAAGCAGTTTTTGTGGTACTGACACATGACAGAATGGATGCACTGGGTCTGTAAGGATAGATGGTCCCTTTTTTAATATACATTTCAAAGTCCTTTCACAAARAGTTAAAAGTTTTCAGCACTTCTGAAAATCAGGCCAAAGATTTGCAAAGTTACTAGTTAAATGTCATTTTCAGAGGAATGGTTTGCTCGTAATCTCCTCAAAAGCATCCCAAAATAGMAGCCCTTCTGTAGAGAATACCCCAGTGGTGCAAGGATGGGGACAATTCAGTGTTTGCTCTTCAGACCTGGAGAGAATTAATAAGGAAACCCAGTTAGTTGTCATTGCTAAAGAAGTAGCTTTTCCATGAGGAGGACCATTGGTCATGATTTAATAACACAAAACCAGCTGCAGCTGTGGCTGGTCGGGCAGTGGTTTGTTAGTTGTGAAACACAGAGCCATGTTTGCTGTGTCACCATAGCCACCGTAACATAATAGGACTGCAGCGTTGGTGTGCAACTTGAGGCTGAGTTGTGTTCTWGGAACACGTGTGTCTGTGTGCATGTGGAGAGGAGTAATGATGAGAAAACCTGGAGAACTGGAAACAATTACARGTCAAACTCTGTCTTCCTCTCTTGCACACTCCATGAAGCTCTTGGATACATTACATTTAATTTAAAAAATGGGAATGACTGTAATTTCCTGTTYAGGTTAGATGATCACATCATGTAAGTTCAGGAGATGGAAAATGTGGTCCAGTTGTCCCATTTTTGGACAAGAGCACAGARAAAAGAGCACAGAGAAAAGGTGGTTCTTCATTGTGCAATTTTAAAAGAAAAAAAAATAATGGAAGTCTATTACATGAAATTTTGAAGTAATCCAAATAATGCCAAGTGAGATTAAATAACAGAAGGGAGAGTATACAAGATGCATGAGAGAAATCAAATGGTCTACAACAGTTTCAGTATATGGTATTTAGTTCCATTTACTTAGCTCACTGTTTGTGGKGATTTTACGGCTTTTTATGATTAATACAAATATTCAAAACTTTCTTCTGTTGAACTTAGTATTTTCTTAGAAATAAAATTTAAGTGCATGATGTTTGGTCAGCATGATAGTAACACACTATATGAATGAACTATTTTTATGTTCTTAAGGGAGCTTCTTGTCTTCTTTTCAGTGTAAAAGTTGGTGTAGTGTTTCGAAACCTGTCATGTTGTCATATATCCAGCAATAATGAAATACTGTAATGTGGTTTAAAATCAGGCAGGTGATGCTCTAACTGCTATTTGAAGGATGACCTTATTTTGAATGATAGAAAAATAACAGCAGATTGTTTATAATAACTCTGACAGCAGATTTAGATTCTTGACTTCACACCATTTCCTTTATTAAAAGAGACATATGTAAGTAGCATTTGCTTCCAGCTACATGGACATATTCTGGCAAGGGGTTTAAGACATCCTGTCTATTATTTAAATTTTGGACATGTGAAGATTTTTTTCTCCCCAAGGCGTTTAAAAAAGTTGGACTACTGGATTTGTTTATTTTCTTAAACCTGAAGGAGCCTGACAAAACATAATACAGTATTTAAATCTCTGTATGCTTTTTTCTTTTATAGATTAACACAAAGTCATAGAATGTTTTGAATTGGAAGTGGCTTAATGATCATCTAGTTCCAGTCTCCCTGCCTTGCACAGGCATGCCACTCCCTAGGTCAGGTTGCTCAAATCCTCATCCAGGCTGGCCTTGAGCACTTTTAGGGATGGAGCATCCACAACTTCTCTGGGCAGCCTGTATCAGTGTYTTGCCACCTTCACAGTAAAGAATTTCTTCCCAACATCTAATCTGCACCTCTCCTCATTTTGTTTGAAAACTTGTCCTATGGTAGGTGCCCATGTAAAAAGTCCTTCTCCAGCTCTTCTGTAACCCTTTTAGGTACTGGAAGGTGCTGTAAGGTTTCCCCAAAACCTTCTMTTCTCCAGGCTGAACAATCGGAACTGTYTCAGCCCTTCTTCACATGAGAGATACATCAACCCTCTGTTCTTTGTTATGGCTCTCATAACTAAACTAATCCTGTATCTATAGGAAACCTTGAAAGAAATACATATTCAAACTTTGTAATGGCCTTGGACAGTTTTTAATGTGTTAGTGTTGAGCTTGGGCATAGTATTTCTGGTAAACACAGTTTGAAATGGCAGTGAAGATTGTTTGCGCTCTGTAACTGCTGGAAAGTTTATCTGTACAAATGCAAGGTATTGGTACGTAATGGGCTCAAAAGACTAATTAAAGCAGTTGGGATTTAGTGAGCTGAAACAGTGGCTTGGAAGTAAAAGACACAGAGCTTTGATTAAAATCATTAGTTAAGAGCAAACATAAGGCTTTCTCCAGTGTACATGTTTGGTCATATTTGTCAATTTTTGTTTGAAGTGCTTACTGTGTTTCAGAACTTGCTGCTCTTCTGACCTCTGTTTTACTATGGAACAGATGTCTGTGGTTAGATTTTTTTGTATTTACATACACAGCATATTTGAGAAATTACTGAATTTCTCAGAAAATACATTAATTAAATGATTTAATATTTTCTTTTTCAGGATTGAAGTGGACCTAGGGACAAATAGATGACTGAATATTCATATGAAGAGGAAAGCCATAAAAGTKGGTTGACATTTTTACAGCCATATGCATTATATGTATTAATGCCATTATCAAAAATTTATATTGTGTTATAAAATGTAATAGATTAAATGACTGGCCTGAGCTTTGTATGCTGTATTATCTTTGAGGCAGGGGAATATGACAGCTGAACAGCTGTATATTAATGCAGCGTTTTCTGACAATACCTGAATGTTCAGTGGAAAACCCAGTAGCATGTTAAGGAAATAGGTAATTCCTTTGAAGCCAGGTGTTTGAATGGGCTCACACATACTGGTGTTCATTATTTTTCCATGCAAGGGTGAAGGGAGAATTAGAGGGCTGTTGTCTTCCATTAGAGCTACTGACTGTGATGCTTAATGTGTTGTGGAGTGCCACTCAGATACCGCATTGACAGGTACTGTTTAAGAAGTCAAACAGGAGATGATCTCTTTGAGTGTATCATGATGCTTTGTTTTATAGAGAGAGGGTTGTTTTGTTTTTGCACTGTGTTTTCTGTGTTAGTTAAAAAGGAAGAAGCTGTTGGTGGAGCTCTATGACTGGCTGCCCTTCTAATACACCAAGCCAGTCTGAGTTATTGGTGACTATGAGGGATAAGCTTTTTCTGGGATTCCATGATAACCAGTTCCCACCAAGGCTGTTTAAATGCAGCTGATGCTGCCTGTGGGTTTGCACCAGAGCAAATGAATTGTATTGGCAAATGTARGGTGTGGTACAGTGGGACGCAGGGCATGGTCCAGGGGGATGCTGTGCAGAAGCTTGGCTAAATAAAACATTCTGAAAACTCTGATAGTCAAGGAGGGATATGTTACTGTTGAAAGCCTGTTCCCTTGACAACTTCTATCAACTTCTGAATCCCAGTCAGGGGCAGAAAAACTCAAAAAACTAGTAAAAGCCCCAGGGTTTGTGTTTTTTTTTTGTTTTGTTTTGTTTTGTTTTTGTTGTTGTTGTTTGTGGTTTTTTTTTCCTCAAGCACAATATTAGTTCAGCACAAGAAATGTAAGTCTGTTGTTCTGTTAACTTAGCAGATTAGTTCAGGAGGAGAGTCTTATTTATCTCAGTGATAATTCAGTTTTATCAACGTTTTAGCAGTTCAGAAGTCTTACAGTTTATGAAGTACTGACCTGGATACAGAAGAGTTTGATTCCTTCTTGAGTAAACTTCTTTAGTGTTCACAATAGGTAGCGGATTCCAGCTACCTCCAAATTCACAAGCAGCGTGAGATCTGAGGGAATCATCTGTGTCCTTGAATTTTGTCTCCTGAAATAACAGCCAGTAAAACAATCTTCAGTTTAGAAGCATCCGTAGAACATCTACTTTATGTATTGCAAGTCCCAGAAAACACCTCCAGCCTTGCAGAGCCAAATTTAAACTCCAGTAGACACAAAGTGGTATTGGTATCTGTGCAGTAATGTACACAACTTTTTTCATGGGGTCAGGGGTCCATATGCCCACATGAGGCAGCAGTTGTTGCTTGCTAAAACCAGCACACAAAATCTTGAGGAATTTCACTTTGGTTTGATTGCTGACATGTCAGCGGCTGCTGCCCATACCGATGTCTAAATGCTTGGGATGGGCCTGCTTCGTGGCAGAGCAAACACTTTCCTGCTCAGATCTCTTGGCTATGAATAGCAGAGTGAAAAACTGATGCTGTCCAAACCTTACTTGCATCTTTCAAAACTGCACTGGTAAAATCCTGTATGTACAAAGGAGGCACTTTGCTGACAGAATATAAAAATGAGAGGGTAAAAATACCAAACTAATGACTTGTAAGCTGTCTCTGGATATCGTTAAGTTACCGTGTAACTTAAGCTGTCCAGGAGACAGCACAGAGCGCACTACCATAGTGTGGTAAAGTTTTGTGTTGGATTGAGAAGAAACTGGGATAGGCTATGTCTTAGGTATTTGGTTTGGGAAGTGACACCAAGGCAGAAAAAGTTAAGGATTTATTTCTTGAGAGGGGCTGTCGTACCCAGAGTCTGTGCAGAGGAGAGATGGCATCTAGATCAAGCAAAAACAAAAGACTCTTGAAAGGTTTTGACCTTTTCACAGGTTTCTTGAGGAAAACTGTAATTGCATGAGAGTTGTATCTCTGTTAGCTTTGTATCTCTGCTTCTCTCTCTGCTTTTGCTTTTCTGATTCAACACAGAGTGGTGGAATAAGGAAGAACCAGAGAACAGGGCAACCTCTTGCTTGTCAAGCCATAGTTCCATTCTCTCATGCTCTTCTGATGACATCTCACTGTTATTGTGGGGAAGCTGCTCATAAGATGTGCAGATAGGAAAGGGGGTACTGAGTTGTTTCTCCACATGTTTTCTGTTTGGCAGCTTTTGCAATTATAGTACTCTGAATCCAGCTGTTAATCTTTYATATTGGGAAAGTACCGTGATTAAATCATATCACTGGATAAGAAAAAGAATGTGGTTACATGGAGGAATTTGAAGTTCGAGTCTAAAAATTCCTTTTCTGGGAAGACTGATTCCAGAAAGCTTAAGCAATAGAAGTAGAGAAGGCTTTTCTGTGGTCGCTGTTAAGATCAGTTGATAAAATTCTGGCTCCAATAGGGAAGAGGCTGGATTTCAGCCAGCACCCTGCCTTAGCGTTTTGTTTTATTGCTTCTCTACTAATCAAGTTTTGAAAGRTTTTCATTGCTAACATGAAAATCTTGGTGTATTGTTGGGAGTGTAAATGACATCGTTGCATTGCCTGTATATTTTGGGTCTTCCTTGTCTTGTCTCATAACATTTGTAAGCATGKTGTTATAAGTGACATCTAAGCATATATGCAGCTAATGAAGGTAATATCAACATATTTTTTCTGTCTCATAAAATGAGGTTAGATGCATATCTAGCATAAAAAAGAAATATGTGAAAATAAACCTAATAGCAAATGTGTGTATTGAATGCATGCAGGTTACGAATCTTCTGCATTTGCCAAAATTCTGACAGCTGCATCCAGAGGTTAATTTCTCTTTTGAATCAGTGTGGTGGTTTTGCTTGGTCCAGATTTTTAGTTGTGGGAGGTAAGAACACCCAGACCACAAAATGGCTCCTGTAAGAAGATTCTGCATCCTGTCCAGCAAAAAGAGCCCTGCTCTGTGCTTTAGGGCCAATCCCTATGGCTCTGAGGGTGATGGACAGTAGTTGGAGACTGAAGATATAAGTGGCTTGGCATTGCAGGACTAATCACCGCTGTGAGGGTGGTGGCCCACGCCTGGARTGAGTGAATGGCTGGAGGGAGCTGTGTTAAAACTCAAGAATAAAGTTTTGTTCCCAATTCAAGTATGGAGCCAGCCAGCCTTGGAGGACTGCTTCCCTCCCCCATGGATGAGGTAAAGGAAAAAAAGTCCCATGCTACCAGCAGTGATAACACTATCTGCTCCTGGGAAGAGATCTCCACAGCATGGAGCTGGATAAGAACCCTTCTCCCATTGTGGTGAAAGACAACTGTGGTGATGGAATGACCAGAAAAACTCTCACTCCTTGTTCCTGCTGTTGCTGGGAAGCAGGGAAGGGTGGGGGCAAAACAGGAGAGAAACCAGGTGCCTTAAACCATCTGGTTTTTTTTTTTTTTTTTTTTTTTTTTTTTTTTTTTTTTTTCCTCCTCCTTATAAATTTGCCCTCTGCCTTTGTTTTTTTTCCCCTCCCCTTTTGTGTGGTAGTATTCTTAGTAGTTTTAGTAATAAATCTATTTTGCAACTTAATATAATTTCCAGCCTGTTTTGACTAATTCGGAGCGTGAAAATCTTTCTCCTTATCCGTTATCTTGTCTAAAAGCTGTAAATCTTTGGGTTAATTAGGGTTTTGCTCTCCCCTCTGCCTCTCCTGCGGAAGGGGGGAAACATCGTGGGTGCCTTGACGTTCAGCCAGGGTTCAAACCACGACAATCAGATAATTTAAGTTTRTCTTTTTCTGTCTACAGTGGTTGAATGTGGGTGTGTGGGGGTGAGACTTGGGTAGGAAATGGGTAACTGACAGAGAAAAACCAGAGCTCAAAAGTTCTGGGCAAAATAAAGATCAAGACTTCAAAACCAAAGGTGACTGAAGGAGAGTCACAGAGCAAAACTGAAGGAGAAAGGAGGTAGTTCAGGTTGGAAAACACAGATCTGGGCTGTACTTAATGAGTGGCTGTGAGGGCATTCACACCACTCACACTGTGGTTCCATGAACAGCTAGAAATAACACTGGACTGTTCAGTTGATCAGGTTTAATGATGTTCTAAGTTATTTAATGCTGAAAAAATGATGAACAGCACTGAATGTAGTGGTCTAAGGATTGCACCTAATTTTCTCTGTGCCATGCCTTTAAAAAAAAGAAACAAAACCAAACCAATCAAGACCAAACTTCAGCTCAGCTCTTCAGAGGGAGGGACTCAAGGGGGTGTTTCTTGAACTGTCCAAAACTTACACCACATCAGAAATCTCCCAACCGCTGATGTGCCCTTGCCTCACTTCCTCTTGCTCCTGTGCAGTGCAGCGCATGGGAGGATGCAGAGCCCCCGAGCTGCCGATTTTGTGCTTGGTGCTCCGCCCTATGCTCCTCTGCAGGCTGGGCAAGCCCTTGGGTCAGCTCWTTTGACTCAGGATCTGCTCTGATTTTGTGTGGAGTTTGGATTCATTTGACTTAAGCTTTTTACTTTTCCATGATTTTAAAGTCTGGTCATGATAAAAATGATTTTTTTAAAAATGTATTTGAGAATGCTTTTATGGTTTGATTTCCATAGTCAGGATATTAGTACCTGACTGTGGAGATACGTTTGGTTTTTCTTGTCAGCGGTCCCTTCTGTATTGCAGACAAAARCTGTTTTTTGAGAAAGCAAGTGGCTGCTCTTAAGTGGTCTTTTTCATCTAGCATCATTCACTGTATTCTTGGAATGTAATTAAGACTAGAAATATCAAATTGGTAAAATATATTAATCTCAAGGGAATTACTTTGCACTGGCCATCAATCTATCTTTCTGTCATGTGCTTTTCAGTTTAGATTACTCTCGGGCAACGAGACTGT